ATTTTCATGCCAGCCAGGTAGGCTATACTCTTGTTGTAAAGCGAAGCAATGTGCTTAATATTAGGAAAGTTGAGAAATAGATATAGTAGGCCTAGCCTATAGAAAGCTGATGGGATCCTCCTCTTTTTAATAGAGGCCATCAAAACTGTTTTCTCACGCAATTGCATAGCCTATAGAAATGTTGCGCAACATGAGCTCATGGGCTCTCATTAAGTGTTTGATTTGATTTTCGATTACGTTTGCATTGATGTCAGAGTGATTAGAGGGACAATAGAATGCTGAGTACCAGGCAGTTAGCAAGTTTGGTAGGCTACTAATGACCATCAGCAGCATCAGAGCTTGGAGAAGCCTAGTTTCCATGACAAACGGTCATGTGGAATTTGACATGATGTCATGACTTGTGACTGCCGGTGTGGCGGTAATACGGTCACCATAACAGCCTTAACCACGCCACCTTTTTATACCGATGGGAGGTTCTCAGGACAAGTGCTAAATGACAAAAAAAAAAGTTTAACACAGGTCTGTCAAATGAATGACATAAAACAGTTAACCAAAGTGCCAAGGTTTATTTATTTGTAAAAACAAGTAGTCCCTGGTGTCCCACAGATAAAACACACACTGGCCAGGACTATGGATTAGGAGGGCACACACACAATAGATCAGCAGCAAAGCAATAAATAATATCAATATCCAAGACTCAAGCCTGGCATGGATAAAACTCATTTTCAGATTGCACACTCGTGATTAAACACTCTTTTTAAGATAGCACGCTCATGATGAAACCCTCGTTGGAGGATGATAACACATGTACACACGTGAATTCATAAGACTGCCTCTGCTTTCATCAAAATAGCCCCCTCCTACGGACAGCAAACCCTGCGCTCTCTGAGGAAGTGGTGCCCAATCAAGACAAGAATACAAACAAACATATAACAAAGAAAATGTAACTAGTCCGCCCCCGAGACAACCCCAAATATTTTGCCTAAAAACCGGCTCACTTGCCGGGGCGTACTAGACAAACTGCCAACCTACCTACCTAACGTAAGGGACAAAACTAACATTAGACCTAACACAGTAAGAGCAATCAAAGACTTCTCCGAAGCTCTCTAAACTACAAACAATAATTATAAACCCTGGTTCATTTATACAACATACCCAGCTAGCAATGAGGAATTGGCCTAGAAACGTTCCTCTTCCAGGGGGCCGGAACTGATTGAATCAGCTCGGAATCGGGTTTCGGACTTGGCCCGGAATCAAAATGAATGGCTGCCCAGAATCGGCCCAAGTACATCGGGCCGTTTCTGTCTACCGGAATTCAGCCGACTTTGCCGGCATCTTACCAGAACCCCCCCAGAAGCGGCCCGATGCAACTTTAAATAAATGTATACAAAATTACCCGATTTACTATTATACATTTTATACATACAAATTATAACCATCCACAAAGTTTTTTATGCTGATCAATTGCCTTGCACAAAGTATCAAAATACTAAAATACTACTTAAACAGGAAAGACTCTTAAAGAATGTAATTTAAATGTTAATTTTATTTTTTGATCACAGAAACAATGAAAAGTAGTTTGATTTTGTCTATTTAAGCTTTCTTTCTATTTAAGCTCTGGTAGGCATTCTCCATCACTCGCTCTCTCCTTTTTCTCACTCCATCTCTGTCAGGGGCTAGCTGCTTCCATCGTTTTATGTATTTTTCTATCTCCACATCAGGAACTTCAGAAAGAGAGAAAATAGAACACATTGAAATACTCCCTGAAATATGACTTGTAGTTTATGCATCTCCCCTATCCTTACAAAATAGTTTTATCAATGGCTTTTTGTTAAAATATTTCCAGTTCATTACATTCTTCCTGCCTTGAAAACTGTGTTGTAATAATGAACTTCCCTGCTGACAATCAAATTGACATGCTGGCCTGTTTTATTTAATGAATCACTTCTGTGACATTATGCCTCTCTGCCCCATGCAGTGGCCTTGAAAGCAAACTTACCGATAACAACACTTTTTAAGGCAAGAGGTTCAAAAGCCTGTTTCCCATTGGCCCCTCTCCAATTCTTTTTCATGGCCAGGCCATTTGTAAGGAGTTTTGAGAGGATTCTCCACACATTCTCCTTGGTGGTCATCCCTCCAGACAGTCCCAAATATATGGTCTGAAAAACAAAAACTCATATATGATGAAGATAATACTAATTTGAAGAAAGCTGGAATGGTACTCTGGGTCAGATTGTGGCTTGGTTAATTACTTTTCAGCAAAACATGTAATGATATAATAATATCTTGTCATACCAGGTCATTTTTTAAGTCTTGATCTGAAAGTTTGACCTCAACTCTCCTCAAGTCTTCCAGCGAGGACATTGGAAGTCGAAGGTCTGTCAAATCTGGAACCTCATCCAGGGTTGATCTGTTCGCCTGGAGCTTTTACAGCTGCAGCAAAATCAGCTTTTGCTGTTGCTTAATCATTTCTATGGAGGTTAAGATTTCACGAAGAATTGCTGCAAAAATACAAAACAGAACACAGTTGTGTTTTATCCCTCACATTCTTTCTGCACTGTAATCCCAAACAGTTGTACTAGCTCATAAGTAATAAGGTCATAACAGTCAAATGTCGTTATGCAGTTGACCAAACTATAAAGTGTTGAGCTCTGTTGAGATTTATGCCACTTTAATTGAAGAGGGCTCAATATTTTATAGGTAATTTGTGTGGAACGCTCAAAAAAGTTTAGGTAGTGTCATGACGTTATCGACGTCATGACGTTCTGGTGGGTGGGTCATCTCTCCCTCAGGAAAGCTGAGTCAGCCATCTTGAATTTGCCTTGATGCGGGGAAGTTTGGGCCGCCCGTGTGGATGTGGAACACAGTTTAATTTGTTTTAATTTGTTTGCAATGCGCACTTTTATGCTGCCCGCTTGAAACCACCACCACCTCCGTTTTTATCATTAGTCTTATTGCCTTCGTTTTCTTAAGCGCCATCTTATCATCACCTCTGATTTGGTAAGTAACTCTAATGTTGTTTTTGTTGTTTAAAAAAAAATTGAATTTCGATAGTATTAAATGTGGAACTGGGAATACATTTGTACAATGTGCACAGTGAATATTTGTTGTAAATAGTTAAAAAATCCAAGTAATTGTAACTTTAGAAGTTGTTAAATATGTGACAAATACGTTACTTCATCTTACAACGGTGTAACGTTATCAGCAGGTTTCCTGGATGAACTACATTTCCCATAATGCATGTTTGCCCGGGACATTGACGGTGGAGGAAGGTCCATGAGTTTTCGCTGTTCGCCGGTAATGCAAGTGTGTACTGTGAGTATACTTATTTCAATAAGTGTCTGCCTTACACAGTAAATATTATACGTTATCGAGCTGTGTGTACGTGTGTGCTAGCGTGAAACGAACAATGCTAAACAACATAATGTGAGTGTGTTATCATGATGCTAACCAGGCCTGTGTTTGTATTTCTTCCTAGGCTCAAGTGTGTGGTTGTGAGATCATCTCGAAATCCTTTTAACAGTTCAGGTAGGATGTATCATGAAATAGTGTTACTAATGTAATACATTGCTAAAACCAAGTATAGAGTGTATTTGTTATAATTCATTGGTATTAGATTTAAAAGGTGATCGAATAGCTCCTGATTTGTAATGTCATTAATGCATTTCTTTTGAAGCAATGTTTAAATATTTTTTACAAGTGAATAGGTTGGTTTACTTTTAAGTTTAAATTTCCCACGTATCTCGTTAAAGTTTTGACCAATGAGCTAACTTGTTAAGTTGTGGCCAATGGGAGAGTGGACTGGTTGCCGGGAAAGAAAAGGGAGGGAAAAGTTGAAAGAAGGGAGAGGAGAGACGTTAGTGGGGTTGGTGAAGGAAAAACGACCAAAGGAAACGATAAAGAGAGAACAAAACCATACCTACAGAGTTTTTTTAAGGGAAATCCTGATTTTATTTCTATAAGAGAGTGTTTATTATTTAGTTAAGAAAGACCAAGTGGAGACTGAAGCTGCCGTCGCATTGTGGAGACATTCGACATCCTAGAGGTTAGCCTAGCATCGTGCAAGACTTGGAGAGAATTGCTTGTGACGATCAGTTCGGGTTTCCAACGGATGTCTGTTGCTGCTACCGAGTACTGGCTGCATTGATAGCTGTGTTCGCGGTGGATCTTGTGAGGACACCTGCACGGAACTACTATATTTTGCTGAGGCATTATCTACAAGTAGTGAGTAACTACAAATGTGGGGTGGACTTCGGGACTTTATGTATGTCGTCATTTTTTTTATGAGCTCCAATGCGCGCCCAGGGTTTAATAAGCAAGCTTGCAAATAATTTGGACATGGGGTTGTGGAAAAATCATTGGGGTTTATCATTTGTATTTCTTTTGATGTGATACATTGAACATTTGATTAATATAGATCTTGAACCTTATGTCTGTTGTATTGGTGGAGTCATTTACTGTTTCAGTTTCATTTAATGCATGGGAAAGCATATCCTTATAACAATAACCAAGTCTATAATCATTCTATCTGAAGTTAATACCCTATTTGTCATTCACCCTAGCAAGTTTACAATAGGGATTCTTATTGGAGATGTCCTTCTCACCTAATATCCCATGCTGTTCAGATATTCTAAATAAGGTAATATAGTGAGAGTCAAATTCGAGCCTGGTAAGAGGATTACACTAATAATTGGTTTTATTTTATGTGTTTCCACAGTCATTCTTTTGCTATTTCTCTAAATGTTTTTATCTCAACTGTGGGGTCAACAGTTGATCACTTGAACCCTTTATTAATACTTTGTTAAATACAAAGAACAACAACAGAAATAGCAGATCTATAAGCACACAACTTTGATGCTTTGCTTGTTAATAACTAACTTGCTTATCTTTTAACATTTTCATTTTTACTATAATTAGTGTACAATGAATGTTTTTGATATTTGTGTAATTATTATTGTAATGGATATTTTTTGTCCATGTAGGAACAACGTGATGTAAATATGAGACGGGCCCTCGTCCTTCGTGCACTTCCTGTGTACCTGCGTGAAGATGCCTCCAAGTTTTTCAGGACCTGTAATGTAAGTGTACTGGCCTCACTATCAATCCCTTTGCTTAGCTATTCAGTCAGCTTAAACATGACATCACTCAAATAACTCTAGGAGAACCAGAGGGGCATTCCAGAAAGCAGGTTATGTGAAAACCATCAGTATAGCCAATTGTATTTTTTCCAACAACGTAATTTCAAAGTCCGTGTTTCTAGTTTGTCGCCGCATTGAGTATGAGATAAAATGTTTTTATATTTCATTTTCAGCCGATTTTAAATAAAACAAAATAGCCTAAAATAAAACACTGAACAACATTCAACCACTTCCTTAAAGGCTAATATAAAATAAAGTGATGTTAAATTCAAAATGAAAAGACGACTGCATCTGAAACTCTGTCAGTGATTTATATAACAGCCGCAGCCAGAAAATGTCTGCTTCCTGTTTTCTCCCGTTGCCATGGTGAATAACCGTATCGGAGCTCCATTGATGATGGCTTTTTACTAGTCGTCAGGCACAAGCTCAACTCCGAGTTAACGTACTCTGAGTCAACTTACCTAACTCAGATCAGCTGTTCTGTAACTGAAAACTCAGTTTCACTTCACAGGGTAAGTCAACTCTGAGTTCAGGGTTAGGCTCAGTTTGTTAAATCTCCTTTCTGGAATAGCCCCCAGGACCTGTTTATGAAGTTTCCTTGAGTTGTTATTCTGCAAACTGACATGTAGAAATTACATAAATGAAAAGGTAAGTATAAAGAATTCCACTAAACAAAAAGTATGCTTACAGGTAGGTGTGAAACTAACATAAAATAATAAGCATGTGTAAAGAAAATAGTTTAAACATGTAGCTTAGTTGCAGTCTAAGTGCAAAGTGACCGTAATGTCTAGACATCATTAGCATGATTTGTATCCTTGAGGGGCTGAACTCATTTTTGTATTATTTGTGTTTTATAGTCAGCAGATGGTCCAGACCTCACTGACACTCCGGTGGCTCTCCTGACAGTTGTCACTGATGATACTACTGATGCGGCCCTCTTCAGCCCTGAGAGCATCTGTATTGTCGTGGAAGATGAAATACTTGTGAGTGGTCCCACAAACCTGGCTGACTCATTTCTCCTGCTCTTTGGGTATGTCTATGCACTAGACCTACAGTACCCAAAGAATCTCGAGCTTACATTCACATTTATCCAAAAAGTTGTGATGTGTCTTGAGGACAACAAACCACTGAAAGGCCGTCTACTGACACTGAAGAATGATTTGTTCAATGAGTGAATCACTCAGAATGGACTATTTGTTGAGCTGAGTATTGAGGATGTTTTTAGTTTTTTTCCCCTCTTTACAAATGTAATAATTTGTCTCTTCTACCTCATGTTTAATATGTTACACTGTTTGCCTCTTCTACCTCAGATTTAATACATTGACTGTTAATAGATAAATATCACAACATTGACGTATTGCCAAGCCCAAGTTTTTGTACTGTACTTGTGGGAAACGACTGTTGAATTCATGCACTATACATGTTTAATGTTGTGTGACCTAATGCTTACCTTGATGTTGCCAGTTGAAGTACGGCACAGTAGAAACCAGTACTTTTATTTGAATGTTTTATTTAAAAAAGTGAGTTGCAGCCTTCAAGGTACAGTAAGTGCCAAAACGTTTTAAATGGCTCCACATTCTAATAGTTGTCATTGCTGTTGAGGATGGATTATAATTAGAATCTTATTGAATTTTATCATGAAGCCTTTGTGAGTTTTTATCATAATGTTTACTGAATAATGTGATATGGAGACCCAAAATACTGAATCTACCCTCTGTAGCAATGACCACTATCAGAATATGGAACTATTAACACTTAATGTACTTTAAAACACATTTTGTTTTTATGGAGTCATTTCCTTTTCCTTTTTTGTTTTAATTTATGACAAGCACTTTGTTTTGACTGAGCTCCTTTTGATTCGTGCCTTTTTAAAAGCACATTGTGTTGAATAAAAAAAAAGTTAAATTGTCACTGTGGCGTCACTTTCATGTTTTCTAACATTATTCGCTGATTATAATTGTGTAATGGACCGACATCAGTATTTCAGTTTAGAATTAATTTTGATTGCATGTCCCACATTATGAGTTGAAGAATATTGAAAATTTTGAGTGTATTTCACACATTTATGAGTTGAAGAATATTGAAAGTTTTGAGTGTATTTCCCACATTATATGAGTTGAAAAATATTGAAAATTTTGAGTGTATTTCCCACATTATATGAGTTGAAAAATATTGAAAATTTTGAGTGAATTACTCCCTAATTATAAGTTGAGGAATATCAATATTTATAAGATAACATTGAGATAATTTAAGGCAACTGTAAATGTAATTTTTATTTTATGTAAACTTAAAACATTTAAAAACATCACTAAAATATTTTTGTGTAATCTGTTACAAAATAATTTTTGAGTTATGTGAACTTATTAGGGTTTACAGTGTGTAGTTAAAGTTATAAAGGGTAATAAAGATAAATATAAACAACATAATCAATGCAATCACATTATAGATCAGGGGTGGGCAACTTTGATGTTGGTGGGGGCAACAATATGTACCTTACATGAAACACTTACAATCACACACTGGTTGGTGCTGTTGTTGAATGTTTGGCTCAATCCTTGTTGGCCTATCAGAATTCCCAGGTGTCTCTCTTCTGTCCTCTGGATGTCTGATAACTGGTGCAGGTGGCAAACCCTTAGAGGTGTTTGACTGGCCCTTGCATGGAAACTTTTCCTTTGGCTCCTCATCCTCACTTTCAGTGGTACTGTATATTTGCGTATTTATGCCCCTGATGTAAAAAATATAAGGTATAAGGTATAAGAACTCATAAGAACGACAAGTGAAGTAAACATATGTTGGATATTAGGCCATCCACTGGGAAATGTTTTTAAAAAAAATCATATTTGTCATAGTTCTTATACCTTCCTTTTCTCTTCATATATGCGGGGCGGTCATCCTCCTCCTCAGTCTGAAGATCAGACCACAGCCATAGGAAGCTTACGGAAAGCCTCTTCATATGTGTCTGTAAGGGAATATTAATGTATTGTGTTTAGATTGCAGATACATATTGTTGTCTCAGGAGGTTGATGTCAGTTATAAATAGTTGACTGCAAATATAACATTAACTCACCTCTAGTGTACCTGATGTTCACATCAAACAAACCCCATGTTTCGTCAGGTGCTTCTTGACGTTTCACTGCCCTTGTGCAGTGTTCTGTGGATGTATAAGGGGGCCAGTAGCTCATGCCATCCTGGACCCATGATGAAGGCACAACTTCAGTCTCCTTCTTCTTGTTATTCCATATTCAAGAGCCCAATTCACCAAGTAGCTTTTAAAACGGTCCGTTGGACTTTCAACCTCATCGTCAACCATCTCCTCGACATCATCACCCTCATCATCAACGTCCCTTTCAGCATCATCAACCTCACCCTGACCTCCACCTTCTCCTACACCTGCAGTGTCCATCAAAGCATCCACAAACAGTTCATTCTCAGAGTCCTGACCACTGGACAACATTTCCTCAGCTGCCTCATTGGACATATAAAATGTCTGAGGAACAGCAGCATTTTCTACATTAAGTGTAGACTGCTCTTGATGGATAGATGTCAGAAATCTTGACACGTTTGCAGTACATCTTCGCCGGATGTTTGAAGTCACACTATACTCTGAATACTTCTCAGTCATTTCTGACAAACGCTGACGTTGAGGGCCAGAGCTCTAAAACACACATTGATTAACTGAATTACTAAAGGGCATAGATAGTGACTTACATTAATTCTTAGGAACCTTAATCACCTTTGTTGGCTGAATAGCTGGCTGGCTGCAGGAGGAAGAGCTGGGGCTACTGCTGGAATTAGCTGGCAGGCTAGAGAGACAGAGCAGAGATTTCTAGGTGTCAAAGTGACTGCATTAACATTCAAAAACTTGTGTCATTTTCAGGGAACACTCACCTTGATTAATCAGAAGAGGTTGATTAGCAGTTTGCTGTAAGTTAACATCACAGACAACACAATCTGATTGCTGATTATGAAACTGGCCTCGAAACATGTTAGAAATCCCTTAACGTTAGTCGTTTTATGTGTTGATATCCTACTCAGTCCTATAAATTACCGTTAGGCTACTGCAACCTGCCTTTTCACACTGGTATCTTAAGCGGCAGTAAAATAAAATGTTTAACATACTTTTCTGCAGAATATTATTACAAAAATTATCCAGTTACTTAATGTCCAAATTGGATAAGAAATATTATTTACCGTTGAAGTTTACCGTTAACGTTATATTGTCAACACAATCCCAGAAACACATAACGTGAACGCACTCTGCTTTCCCAATAATTTTACCAGACCATTTAGCAAACGATACCACAAATAAAATATCATAAATAGATTACCTTGAACGTTAGAACTGTCACAAAATAACAATAATAAGCTGGCTAGCTATTTTGTTTCCATCTTAACAAAAGGGGTCTACCTACCGTCTTCATGGTTGAGCTCTAGTGACAGTTTATGACAGTTGGAATAGCAAGTGCCTAATTAAATCGTGAGCTCGTAGACAGGAAGTAGATCTGCTCGAGCGCAGGTGGTGGTCCACAGTGGATGTTTAAACTCAACGAGTAGCCATACTGAATACGGCCGCGTAAAATGACTTTCAATGCTGAAATCTAAATTTAGTTTGACTTCTGTATCAATTCTATTTCAACTACCATTTTATGGAAAATTAAATAAACAATTAAATGTTAATTATATAAAGCAGCCCGTGTAATAATCTGCCAGAGAGTAGCCACAATCAGCCCGAGTCCCAAGTAATACATTTGGGCCTGATAACTCACACCGGAATCGGCCCGAGCTCAATCCCCGCATCCTAGCGATAAGTAAAACTGCCGAAGGCGGCCCAGACTCGGGCCACATGACGTCTGCCGAGTCTGACTCGCAGCCGAGTGCCCCCACTCTCAGCCAGAATCGGTTCAGATCCACTGTGTTAGCTGGGTAGCAATATCAAACTTCAATACTTGATTAAATACACAACATTATTCAAATGACACGATTCACATTACAATGTTAAAAGCGCATACCTTTAAAGTTGATAAGCCATACCCTAACCCAGCCTACACACCCATGAATATGCCATCAATGCCGAGTCTATCAGACAGTGTCGAATTCTTCTCCCAAACAGCATCGAACACATCGCTGAAACACAAATAATTGTCTTACATTTACATTTACATTTACATTTTAGTCATTTAGCAGACGCTCTTAACCAGAGCGACTTACAGGAGCAATTAGGGTTAAGTGCCTTGCTCAAGGGCACATTAACGTCATTTAGCAGACGCTCTTAGCCAGAGCGACTCACAAATTGGTGCGTTCACCCTATAGCCAGTGGGATAACCACTTTACAATTTGGGGGGGGGGGGGGGGGGGGGGGGGGGGGGTTAGAAGGAATACTTTATCCTATCCCAGGTATTCCTTAAAGAGGTGGGGTTTCAAATGTCTCCGGAAGGTGGTGAGTGACTCCGCTGTCCTGGCGTCGTGAGGGAGCTTGTTCCACCATTGGGGTGCCAGAGCAGCGAACAGTTTTGACTGGGCTGAGCGGGAGCTGTGCTTCCGCAGAGGAAGGGGAGCCAGCAGGCCAGAGGTGGATGAACGCAATGTCCTCGTTTGGGTGTAGGGACTGATCAGAGCCTGAAGGTACAGAGGTGCCGTTCCCCTCACTGCTCCATAGGCAAGCACCATGGTCTTGTAGCGGATGCGAGCTTCAACTGGAAGCCAGTGGAGTGTGCGGAGGAGGGGGGTGACGTGAGAGAACTTGGGAAGGTTGAACACCAGACGGGCTGCGGCATTCTGGATGAGTTGTAGGGGTTTAATGGCACAGGCAGGGAGCCCAGCCAACAGCGAGTTGCAGTAGTCCAGACGGGAGATGACAAGTGCCTGGACCAGGACCTGCGCCGCTTCCTGTGTAAGGCAGGGTCGCACTCTCCGAATGTTGTAGAGCATGAACCTGCAGGAGCGGGTCACCGCCTTGATGTTGGCGGAGAACGACAGGGTGTTGTCCAGGGTCACGCCTAGGCTCTTCGCACTCTGGGAGGAGGACACAGCGGAGTTGTCAACCGTGATGGCGAGATCATGGAACGGGCAGTCCTTCCCCGGGAGGAAGAGCAGCTCCGTCTTGCCAGGGTTCAGCTTGAGGTGGTGATCCGTCATCCATACTGATATGTCTGCCAGACATGCAGAGATGCGATTCGCCACCTGGTTATCAGAAGGGGGAAAGGAGAAGATTAGTTGTGTATCGTCAGCGTAGCAATGATAGGAGAGACCATGTGAGGATATGACAGAGCCAAGTGACTTGGTGTATAGGGAGAAAAGGAGAGGGCCCAGAACCGATCCCTGGGGGACACCAGTGGTGAGAGCACGTGGTGCGGAGACAGCTTCCCGCCACGCCACTTGGTAGGAGCGACCGGTCAGGTAGGACGCAATCCAGGAGTGAGCCGCGCCGGAGATGCCCATCTCGGAGAGGGTGGAGAGGAGGATCTGATGGTTCACAGTATCAAAGGCAGCAGACAGGTCTAGAAGGACAAGAGCAGAGGAGAGAGAGTTAGCTTTAGCAGTGCGGAGAGTCTCCGTGACACAGAGAAGAGCAGTCTCAGTTGAATGACCAGTCCTGAAACCTGATTGGTTTGGATCAAGAAGGTCATTCTGAGAGAGATAGCAAGAGAGTTGGCTAAAGACGGCACGCTCAATAGTTTTGGAAAGAAAAGAAAGAAGGGATACTGGTCTGTAGTTGTTGACATCAGTGGGGTCGAGTGTTGGTTTTTTGAGGAGGGGAGCAACTCTCGCTCTCTTGAAGACGGAAGGGACATGGCCAGCGGTCAAGGATGAGTTGAT